CTCTTCTTTCTTTTCCCCATCACCCTTGATTTCTTTACTCATTAAAAAGCATACTTAGTGACCTATTATTGACAGCCCTCTGCAGGAAAAAATTCCACGGATTCAGTACCTCTGAGAGAAGAAATTCTTCTCATCTCTGTCTTAAAAGAGTGACCCCATAATGGCCTCTAATCCTAGACTCTCCCACAAGGGGAAATCAATCTTTCAGTATCTACCTTGTCCAGTCCCCTAAGAATCTTTCATGTTGCAATAAGGTCACCTCTCATCATTTCAAATTCCATGCGTAAGGCCCAACTAAATCAGCCTATCCTCATAAGAGGGTCCTCATACCCTAGGATCAATGTGGTGAAACTTCTCTGAACTGCCTTGGACCCCCTTGATTCATGGTCAGTTAACTGGGAAAGCTCAAAAGGTTTATCTCATGCTAACTAAGGGAATTCAATGGCCTAGTGGTATTATTGCTAGTAATCAAGACTAATAATCCAGAGAGCCAAGTAATATTCTAGGAATCCAGGTTCAAATCCCACCAGGGCAGATGGTGGAATTTGAATTCAATAAAAAAATCTGGAATTAAGAATCTACTTGATGGCCATGAAATCATTGTCGATTGTTGGACAAACCCATCTGGTTCACTAACATCCTCACCTGGTCTGGTCTACATGTGGTTCCAGACCCACAGCAATGTGGTTGACTCTTAATTGCCTTCTGAAATGACCTAGCAAGCCATTCACTTGCACCAATTGCTGCAAAGTCTCAAAGAATTGAAACCAGACGGGTCACCTGGCGTCGACCTCGGCACTAGAAAAGACAACAGCAGAAACAGCCCTGTCGTCCCTGCAAAGCCCTCCTTACTAACATGTGGCACCTAGTTTGTTTCAGATCTTCAGTATCTGCAGTTCTTTGTTTTGTTATCCTTATGAAGACTCTTTGTGTCTTTTTCACCATTTGCCTTCCCACCTATTTTTGTGTCATCTGCAAACTTAACTATGGTACATTCACTTTTCACATTCAAGTGATTAAGATAAAATAGAATAGAAGCCCTACAGTGGGGAATCAGGCCATTCGGCCAATCGAATCCACACTGCCCCTCTGAAGAGCATCCCACCCAGACCCAACCCCACCCTGTCCCTGTAACCCTGCATTTCTGGTGACTAATCCGACTAGCCCACGCATCTTTGGACTGTGGGAGAAAACCGGAGCACCCAGTGGAAAGCCACGCAGACACGGGGAGAATGTGCAAACTCTACACAGACAGTTGTCCAAGAGTGGAATTGAACCCAAGTTTCTGGTGCTGTGAGGCCAGCTCCACCGCCCTGCAATGTATTGTAAATATTCACCATATAGCATTGACACTCAGTAGTAGCACTGTTAACCATCTACAAGGTACAATACAAAAATTCACCAAACCTTCCAAACCCACAACGACCATTGAGAAGGACAAGTGCTGCAGATACATGGAAACACTACTATCTGCAAGATTATCTCCAATCCGTCCACCTTCCTGACTTGGAAATATATCACCATTCCTTCTGTGTTGTTGGATTAACATGCTGAAAATCCCTCTATAACAGCTTTGTGATTGTACCTACATAAAATGGACTGTAGTGATTCAAGAAGGCAGCTCCCCTCCACCGTCTCAAGTGTATTTAGAGATGAGAAATGAATACTGGCCTAGACAATGACACCTACATTCCACGAATGAAAAAAAAAATTGAAGTTAATCATAATTCTTCCTGGATTTTGCTATCCGAATTACTGAAATTTCAATTGAATAAGTTACTGTCATATTTATGATATAAGTGAATTTGTAAACAGGACAGGACATGAAAATAAAGATTTGTACTTTTGTGATCATTTTGAAATATAACTTCAAATAGTTAAATATGTGTATTTTGTTTATAGATAGTGTTCTGTACTGCTATTTATGAACGATTTATAGAAGACAGAATAAGTCAATTTATTGATGTATGCTCAGTAAGTAATGTGAGTATTACACTTTAATATTTTAATTCTCTCTTTTTGGTAGAAGTGTTATCAATTTTTTAAAACTTGCTTTTCACAAAATGACACTAGCTATCTAGTCTTGTTCTGCTTTTTCATTTTCAGATATCTGTGATGATTTTCTCACACAGATGTTTTGGATATTACATCCATGGTAGGTCTGTGCATGGTCATGCAGACACCAACATGGAGGAAATGAACCTCAATCTAAAGAGAGAAGCGGTATGGTAACTTATTGTATGATACTCATAATTTAGAAAACCGAACTAAAAGCTAAACAATCTGGAAATGGACGAATATCTCCCTCTGAAAATGGAGAAGTGATTAATTTATTTGATGTAAAGTTTCTATCTGAAACACTAACGTGCATTTTCTCTTTCAGTGAATAAGCTTTTGTGTATTCCAAAATGTTTTGAGTTTATTTTAGGCTATTCAGCTTTTGTAATCAACATATTTATTCCGATCTAAATTAATCCATTTTTAATTTACAAAGGGGTTCAAATATACCTACTTTATGGAATTCAGATTCATTGTTCAGATTCTTTTCATAAAGCTTTTTTTTACTTTCAATCTTCTAAATCGCTCGCAAACTGTTGTCTTTTCCTTAAAAAATTATGAAACATCAGACATGTAATTTTACATATTATGTTTTGTTATAATTATACATATGACTGGGAGACAACGTGTAGTGGTTCTGTCACTGGACCAGTAATCCTGCGGCCCAGGATAATGCTTTGGGGCTATGGATTCAAATCTCACCGTATTAGCTGATGGAATTTAAATTTAAGTAGTAAGTTTGGAATGTAAAGCTAATCTTTATAATGTTAATAGTCACCATAAAATTACCACCAATGTTGCAAGAAACTCATCCATTTCATTAATATCTTTTGGGAAAAACCTGTTGGCCCAAAACAGTCTGGCCTCCATGTGATCCCAGTTCCACAGCAATTTGATCAACAATTCACAGCCCTCTGAAATAGCCTAGCAAACACTCAGTTCAAGGACCATTCAGGGTGGGTAGAAAGTTCTGCTGTTGTCAGTGATACACACATCTCATGAGAGAATAAAAAAAATTTATACTGTTTATCGAACTGAACCTTTGATCAACATAGTTCAGTGAGCGCTCAAGGTGCTTACACTCCAACCCTGTCTGCCATGTTATGACCTAACTCAGCACAGACTGGAATGTAGAATGAGCAGAAATGTCCTCCAATTATAAATTAAGAAGACTGAAGCCATTGGACAGAAAAGGACAGGACAGATGGCCACCCTATGACCAAAATGCATCCCTGCCAATGTAGGCAGAACCACAACCATTTAATGCTCAACTGAGAATGAACTAGTTGGAGGCAAGAATTCAACCCCTCTCCCAGGAAAAGGTTCGCTTCTGAGAGATGTTGTCCAATATATTTTGCCTGTACCTCTGTAATGCTAGCAGTGTCATTGAGGGTGGTAGCCACTGCTGGGTCTATAGCCTCTCCCTTCTTCATGCTAGGAACCAGATCCAGTAATTGTGGGAAACCAGTGGTAGAAACTAGATTGAGTGCTCTGGAGAGCCAGACGTGGGCCAGAGCAGTGAGCATCAGGTTTGAAAGGCTAGGTGAAGTGAAAACAGAGGAGTAGGAGGTGCTGCAAACTAGCATTGGGGCTGGGTGTGAGGAACAGTGCTTCCCCTCCAATTTCCACCAACTTGCCCCAATCCTTGACCTCCTCCTGACAGTTTCAAAATTGCAGTGGGGTTGGTAGCAGCTATTTAAGAGACTATTAATTGGTCAGTTGTTTACTGTGGTGAGGACTGGTAGGTGTACCTGGGCCTAAGCAAAAATTTTGCAAATTTCACATATGTCGGAAGTGGGGAGATAGATGGTAGAAAAGCCACTGGGGAATTTTATGGCCATCCACAAAGCAAAGATGGTGTCTTGTAAAATTCTACTAATTCTCTTCAATCCCTGACATAAAATCTGTTTCCATGCCACCAACTCCAGCCCTCTCTTTTGTGATCATCAGAGGGTGAATTAAACTGTTACAACTTTGAAGTCATATTTGACTGCAAAGGAAATCACAGAATGATAGCACAGAAGGAGGCCATTCAGCCCATCTTACCTCTAACACACTAAAGCTCCAAATGAGTATCATGACTTCATGCCATTCCCCTTCCTTTATCTGAAACTTTGCGCATTGTTTATATTAAAATGAGCTTTCAATTATCCATGCATCACAAAGATCACTTATAGTTACCTTTGCAAAATCACCAACTCTGCACCATCTCAACCATCTGCTGCTGAAACACTCATCCGTACTTAAGCTACCTCTGATCTGTTTATTTTAAGGCATTGCCTGCCGGCCTCCATGTTCTACCCTCCTTAAACTTGAGGTCATCCAAAACCGTACTACCTATGTGTAAACTCACCAAAACCCATTAATCCATCATCCTTCTTCTAGATGACCTAGAAAAATGCTACAGTATCTAAATTTAAAATTCCCATCTTGTTTTTAAACGCTCCATGTCCTGGACTCTCCCAATCACTGTAAGCTCCTCCAGCTTCACATAATCCTCTAAGATATCTGCTGTCTTTTGCCTCATTTCTAGCCTCTTGAGCAAACCTGTTTTTAAACGTTCTAGTGTTGGTAGCATTTTTATCAGCTGCCTGGTTACTATGCTCGAAAATTCCTGCTTAACAGGCTTGAGGGGCTAAATGGCCTCCTGCTCATAATTCATATATTCATCAATGTCGCTGCCCCTTTATCTTGCTTTCCTCTTTCAGGACAATTCTAAAACCTACCTCACTGACCAAGCTTTTCATTTTTGATTTAGTGTTATAATGCTTCTGTGAAGGGCTTAATGTTTTATAGTATTAAAGGGTGCTGTATAAGTTTCGATTATCAGGGAGCCTAGTACACCACTGCAGATATAAGTGAAACGTTTTTCTATTAATTCAGGGAATGTGGGCTTCACTAGCTGGGTCAGCATTTATTGCCAATCTTTAGTTGCCCTTGAGTTACTTATTGTAAGATTCCTAGTTCCAGACCTCTTCCTGTATTCATACAGCTAGTCCAGTTTAGCTTCTGGGCAATAGTAACCTGCAGGGTGTTCATAGTGGGAGATTCAGTGAGAGTAATGTAATTGAATGTCAAGGGTAGTTAGATTCTCCCTTTTGGAGATGATCATTGCCTGGCTGTTGTGTTGGGGGAATGTTCCTTGCCACTTGTCAGCCCAAGACTGGGTATCATCCAGATCTTGTTGTATTTGGACAAGTCGACCTTAGTATCTCAGGAGCTGCCAATGATGCTGAACATTGTTTAATCATCAGCAAACATCCCTACTTCTGACTTTATAATGGAAGGAATATCATTGATGAAGCAGCTGAAGATGGTTGGGCCCTAGAACTCTCCTTGAGGAACTCCTGCAGAGATAATTGATCTCCAACAGGCACAACCCCCTTCTTTTGTGCCAGGTATGATTCCAACCAATGGAGAGATATACCCCCTGATTCCCAATGACTCCAGTTTGGCAAGAACTGAGTAGTCTTGCTGGAACCCCAGCTGAGCATCAGTGAGCAAGTTAGTGCTAAGCACATGCTGCTGATTAGCATTGTTGATGATCTCTTACATCACTTTATTGATGTCTGAGAGTAAACTGAAGGCATTGTAATTGTCCTGGTTGGATCTGTCCTGCTTGTTGCTTGCAAGAAGTACGTGGGCAATTTTCCACATTGTCCTGTCAGTCAAATGTTGCCTGGATGTCAATGTCACTTCACGTATGGAGTTCAGTTCTTTTGTACATGTTTGAATCAAGGTTGAATTGAAGTCAGGAGCTGAGTAGCCCTAATGGAACCTAAACTGAGCCATCAGTAAGCGGGTTAGTGCTAAACATGTGCTGCTTATTAGCATTGTTGGTGATCTCTTGCACCACTTTACAGATGTTTGAGATTAGACAGATGGCATAGTGATTGTCCCGGTTTCTGTGTGCAAGATGTACCTGGGCAATTTTACACATTGTCGGGTGTTTGCCAGCATTGTAGTTGTACTGGAACTGCTTGACAGGGCAAAACAAGTTCCGTAGCACAAGTCTTCTGTATTACTGCTATAATGTTGCCTCTTTTGCAGTATGAAGTGCCTTCAGTTGATTTTTGACATATTGTGTGGTGAAATGAATTGGCTGGAGACTAGTATCTGTGATGCTGAGCATCACCAGAACAGGCCAAGATAAGTCATCCACTTGGCACTTCTGGCTGAAAATTGTTACAAGTGCTCCAGTCTTCAAATTCATGTGCTACTCAACAAGGTGCAGAGCTGGATGAACACAGCAGGCCAAGCAGCATCATAG